CGGCCTCCAACTACACCTGCGCAATGGACGCCCCCGTGTCCGATGCGCGAAGGCCATGGGGCCAGGAAAAACGAGCACTCAGAGTCTTGACCCTAGCGGCAGATCCGGTCTATGGCTCCGCCGCCAATCAAGATTTAGTTGCGGAGGGTATGGAGAGCGGCACCTCGCCCTCGCAATACCGACACTCCTCTCCCCCCGCAGCCCCACCACCGCATCAACGGTGTGGCCCTGTTTGAGTCTCAGAAGATAGAGCGAGTAGCGCATCGCCATACCGACACTCCTCTTCCTCCGCACCTCCACTTCGGCTGCAGCAGTAGGGGGAGAAGACACCCCTCTCGCCGCAGCCCACCAGCACACATCCGAAGTGGGCTCGCTAAGCTCACTCGGAGTGACCACCTCAGGCCGGCCCTTCACCTCAGGCCAGCCATATGGGTTCCTCTTTGTTCACCGCGAGTGAGCAAGCCACGGTTACTAAGCCCCCCGTCAACTCGTCAACCCGTTCGGTGGGGAGTGTACCTTACCTTCCCTACCCCATACCGGCCCGCGGGTCGTTAGAGGCGACGGAAGGAAAATAACACAGAAGATGGGATCTTCCTGATGACAATTAAAATTTATAAAAAAATTGCGGTTGCCCATCACGCAATCGACGAGGGAGGCTCGACAGTGGACTTTTATTAAAGGAAAGTTGTTCCCACGACTTTATGTACGTGGAATTTGTTAAGATTTGTTTCAATTTTTTGTACGGAAACCCTAAATTATTTTTCTAAAATGAAAGCTACTCCTTACATCAGCTATTCGCCAGTGAAAGTCCCATCAAAATTGGTCCAGCCATTTCGGTAATTATCTAGAACAAACAGACTGACAGACAAAAATTTCAATTTTTTTCTATAAAGGTGTTCGGTAAAATGACACAAGTGTGTCCCGCATTATCCCGCAGTAACACGTGTCAGTAGCGATAGTGTCGACGTCTTTTGTTACGCGAACAATTGCTACAAGCTACAGTTACGCCTAAATCCATTCCAAACACTGTAAGAAACTGCTGGAAATACAGGACAATGTACGGAGTTACGACCTTCTAGCTGGATCTAGTGTGGACGCTGGTCTGTGTACTGTTACACATCTACGAGCCGATCCATCGAGAGTCAGTTCTTTTCAAAGGATTTTGCTATTGTCCGGAGCGCACGTTGCTGCAAGAGATCCATAATGAGGTCCGACGCTCATTTGCCTGGGATGCCATGGACGTGTCTGGTAAGCCGCGCCAGAATGGTGATGAAGTGCGCGCCATCGCCCAGCTGCAGCGATCCGCGGCGCTCGTTAACGAACACTGGTATGTTGGCTTACCTTGGAGGGAAGCCGATCGCAGGATGCCGGACTCCTACCCAAATGCACTGAAAAGGATGAAAGGTATTGAAAGGAAAATGGAAAAAGACACAGTTTTTGGTAAAAGGTATGAGGAACGCATTAATCATTTGCTGGTTAATGTGATGATTTGATGTTAATGTCAGGGGAAAAAGGTGCTTAATGTTGCGCGCAATCCACATTGAGACCGTTGCTTCCCTAACGACACATTATCTAATCATGGCACTGCGTCGGATGGCAGCGAGGCGTGGCTGGCCACGTCACTTGTACTCTGACAATGGTACCAATTTCAGAGGCGCAGGCAAGGAACTCCAACGGAGCTAACTATGCAGGACCTTCACCAGGAATACCTACGTAGCGTAGGTGTCAACAACGGGATGGATTGGACTTTCATCCCCCCCCCCCCCGCCAGTCCCCATTGGGGTGGGGCGTGGGTGCGGATGATACGCAGCGTTAAGACATCGCTTAAAACTGTCTTAACTGAACGGGCACCGAGAGACGAGGTGTTATGCACACTACTAACTGAAGTTGAAAATATAGTTAACAGTCGTCCTTTGATGCACGTTTCGGTCGCACCAGATGGAGTAGAAACCCTCACTCCAAACCAATTTCTTCTAGGTACATCATCAAACTCACCGGTAATAGGGGCGTTTGACAGTTCAGACTTGTATCTCCGCAGACATTGGCGTATAAGTCAGCGATTGGCTGATATGTTTTGTCACAGGTGGGTGAAGGAGATTTTACCTGAACTTTTACCTAGGCAAAAATGGCAAGAGTAGCAGAAGCCGCTACAAATTGGCGACCTCGTCTTAGTTGTGGACCAGAACTCTCCCCGCAACGCGTGGCCAAAGGGATCATTACAGAGGTGTTTCCCGGGAAGGATGGCCGTATCAGGTTAGTGGAGGTGAAAGTCGGCTCGAGGACGTTTCGTCGATCCGCGGCACGCGTCGCTCCTATATCACTGAATGATGAGTGCTGTGACAGCACTGGGGTGCGGAATGTTAGCGACGCGCTCATTTGTAATTAAAGTTATGTTTGGCATTAAATTTACTGTGTATCGATTGTACTTACCTATATCTATTTTAGTTATAAATTTGTTTTAAAAAGACGCGGGGCTCTGACGTGCTCGTCGGTGAGAACCCCGTCAGCCCGTCAGTCTGCCACTATACACTATACGTGAGTCGATGCGCACGCCTATTATCGCGCGCAGCCATTTGTAAATTCGCCTATTGCTATTAAATTAAGTACAACTATTATCTCGCAAGTCATTTCAACCTCCAGCAGACCCAGCACCTAAGATCTACACTTACATTTATAACACGCGTCAAAGTACGCCAGATGACACAGGATACAGTATCGGGTCATCTCGTGACATGTCTTGGTACTCCCCCACCCACACCTCACCGCTTTGCAGCTCTTTTTCTTTCTTATTTTTAGCACAAAGTAATATTATAAAGGCTGTACTAGTACAAGGCAAATGTAAATTTACTTCCGCTATTTCTACTGCAGACGACATATCTGCCTGGTGGTTGGTGCTTAAATGACAGCACCAACAGAATCTCGATACCACGTAGTCTAGGTCGACACCATGCGTCTATACTTGTAACATTTCATCGTACATGGTTTGTGACCGTGTCAGTACAACTCAGACCGTCCACATTAAGGTACGGACAGACGTACTCATTACTAGCACGAAAGCATGCTTTAATTAAATCAAGCGACAGTAGCCTAATGGCAGGGCGCGGACCGCGAACTCCAAAAGGTCGTGGGTTCGAATCCTCCATTCGACTACTGGCGTGAACCACTCGTAACACAAGCAATTTAAGCTTACCACGAGTGGTTAAGGTTGTTAATATTCTTTTTTTTTAAATTGAGAAAGTGCTCATTAGTAGCACGTGTGCACACATTGCTACTAATGACCATGCTTATTTTGGTCGTGCTCATAAATCAACCGTTTGATTTTCGAGCATGCTATCCGCGTCTGAACAGGTTATTGAGTTCTGTACAGATAGCACTGTCACTATATCTTTGTACATCCATTTTGGTCGAGAGCCTGGTGCTAAACAGCGCGTGTCCAGTTTGCATTGAGTATGCTTATTTATAAGTATGCTTTAAGCGTGCTTATTGTTGGCAAATGTGAACAGTTGCAGAGCATGCTAATATTAAGCAAATAATTATGAGCATGATTATTTTTTGAGCACGTCTGTCAGTACCATTAGGCGTAACATGTCCTGTACGATGCCACGAAATAGCTGTTCCGCGCGTATAATTTATTACGGTTGGATTTCATTTAGGATAAATAATCATTTGGGTCAGTCCACAGATTCAACCAGCTGGGTAGAGCTCAGCAATTTACGACAGATCTCCTCAAATGTAAGTACCTCAAAACTTGATATGTGAATGAGTCGCTCAGTGAGCTATAGTAGGCTACGCTCGGATTTTCACTGCATGATATACATCGAAATTAGGCTTTCCGCAGCAGTACCGGTGTGACCGAAATAGCCTAACAAATCAATAAGCTGATGTGCATACGGGCCATCCATATAACTAGAAAGAACCGACAATTGATGGAGAAAAGAGAAGTGTATGGCAGCCACCAATTTGATTGAGTAATGTTCTCTTTTGTGGTATTTTTTGGAGAAGGCCTTTATTCAATATTCAGCAGTGCAATTGCGAAGTGCTGTAACGATGATGATGTAGGAAATTCAATTGATTTCAAATGTGATAAATGGAATCATCCATTGTACTATAGGGTTAACCCATGGTCACGGGGGGGGCGAGTTTGGCCCCACATTTTTGATCGTACCTCCTTTTGAATAAAAATAAAAATATGAAAGTAAATCCCTGTGTAGCATGGGCCACCCCATAGATCATCTCATAGAGGAGATTGTGCCACTCTTGGTAGATGGATTGGCAACTGTAGTATTTTTTAATTTTGTCTTATTATTAGGAAGATGCTGCTGCCCATCTCTTATTTAAGTTTTCCTGCTTCGCCTCTGATGGAATAGAGGACTGGAAAGGAATGGCATAAAATAAAGTCCTCATGGTACATGTGACATCAGAACTTCACAAAATATCACAGAGATAATATATGTCTTTAACATTTTAAAATAAATAAATAATCTATTTCATACTCAAAACGATTTGTAATACACAATTGTTGCAACATTCATTTATAAAAAAAAATCTGAGCTTACAAAACCGTTAATTTTACAATAAATAAATACTTACAGTATCTGTTTTTGAGATCTGAAAAATATAATGACATTTTGATTACATCATATTATAATTGTGGTATTTCTTAAAATTGTATTCCTAAAGTTTTTGATACATTTCAATGATTATTAAGCCCTAACTATAACCTAAATAAATTGGTTGCATGTTATCAATATGATAATACTCAACAAACTTTAAAAAAAAATATCTCTCGACAAGAATTACAATGCTGCTATTATGCAGATTAAAAATCCTTGCAAGACAATGATATAATACATATAAATTAGTTAAAACTAAGTAATTAATATATGTAGATATAAATGATATATGACTACTAATGCTAATATTGTTATATTAAGCAGTATATATATATGACTTTTGATATTAGCAAGCTTTAAGGTGGCTAAATATACATAAAGCAAAGTTCATGTGTATATAGTAACAGTATGTGTAGGTCGAATTTGTTCTGGTTGAACTTGAGTAGTCTGTACAGCATCTTGAGGCCTAGCCTGCTTGGCCTTTTTCCTTGCTGCATCACTTTCAGCATAATACATCCCCAACCTCGTCTTTATCGCTGCTAATGCTGCACCATTAATTTCATCATGGAAGATGTTAGAGTATCTCCATTGTTTAACCAGTGGTCCCTTTTTTCTTTCCTTTTTAATCTTTTTTTGTGTATCATTTTTCACTTCAGTAATCTCTGAATTTTGAGTAAATGAGATGTCACTAATAGCTAGTGTTGTGTCTTGGCTTGGTTCTGGTTTAGCTTGGAGCACAATAAAAGCTGTTGTAGGTTGTGCAGGTCTCGTGACTGTGGACTGTAGGAGTATACCCATACCTTGAGCGTTATTCTGAGTGTGATAAAAATTTGTTTGAGTTGCTGCTGTTGTTAAGGCTGTGGTTTGATATTGATTTTGAAAATAATTCTCTGCTATGTTGACAAGTTGTCCACTGCCAGGGTAAAGGGTAAAAGATTCTTGTGTAGGTGGCTGTAGCGGCTGGTGGCTTGGTTCACTCGGTAAAGCTATTTCCATATTTCTTTTTGATTTTGGCATTGTAGCTGATATATTATCTGGATCATATGTCTTTATGTAGTCCTTCCACATTTTAGATATATTGATTTCTAATCCAGCAATTTTATCCAATCTAATAAAATCTTTTAGTCTATGAGTGTGCACAATGGAATAAATGTGACTCTTTATTTGGTCTATTACACCATTTGGAAGTCGAACTTCACCTGATCTTCTATGGCTATTTTTACCTCTATTATCATTAGGAAACATAATACCATCATCCATCTTTTTGCAAAGTACCCTTACTTTCCTTTCTGTTATAGCGTGAATGTTTTTAAAAGCTGTTTGACATACTTGGGTTTCTTTACCCTTCACCCTGACAAAATATTCAAATGTACATGTACGGCGACTGCTTGTTTTGACTCTTTTTCTTTTTACATCCACTTGCCTCATCAAGCCAAATAGATAAGCATTTTGTTCGTCATGAGTTTTCATTGAATAAAAGCCTTGAAATGTTTTTAACCTGACATCTTCTGGAACCCTTTGGAAACATTTTCGTCTACAATTGCAGTCAGGTCCAGGTTGTTTTGGCGGTACTACTTTTCCATTTGCATTTATATATTCGAGTCCAGCTATTCTTAAACGTTTCTGTTTTTGCTTGTGCCATTCTGAAAGTAGATTTATGTATATATTCATTTCATAAACCATAATTTATATGCAAGAAAGATTATTATTAACAAATATAATTTAAAAAAATAACGGTATCTTTATTTATTCAAATGAGAGTTGATGAAATTTCATCAATTTTAACGTTGTGTGATTTTTTTTATAACTGTTTTAAATATAAATGTGTAATAAATTCCTAATGGAATGTTAAGATGTATTTGATTAACAATTTAAAAAAATGAAAAACATTTCAAATGTTATGTATAAACTTACATATTAAAAAAAGGTAGTAAGAGTCATAAATATATCAATTTAACGTGAACTAAATGATAAATATAAAGTACTTAAACGTCCTTGTAAAAGAAACTGTAACATTATATACTCTGAATTTAAAAACTTAATGTTACCTTCCGGATTTCGTAAACGTTTCTTTACAAGTTTTCCGTTTTTAGATATCTTTATTTTTCGGTCATTACTTGAGACATCCGCCATTTTAATATCAAAGCAAGCAAGCTAACGAAGTGGGGAAACGGGGAAAGGGAAATTTCATAGATATAGGTATGTTGCTGTTACGATACGCCAATTACAAAAGACAAAGTCTTTTACCATACAGTGTAATCTATTTATTATGTTGACTAAATACTTGACAATATGCTAATGCGTTACAATACGAAATTTTTAGGAGATTTTGAAAACACATTAACCTAATGAAAAATTGTTGACGAGGGTATGTCAAGACGCCTAAGCGGAGAAAAAAATCTTGAGATTTATCACTTTTTTGTACCAAAATCCTCTTAACATCATTTTAACGGTAAATGGCGCCAGTGGTCAAGTTCAGGTCAAAATTCAAATTATTATTATAATGTACTATACTCAAAGACATTTAAATAGCTTTTTATTCGAATAATTTACACAAGATCGGACTACAAGGCATCTAGAATCTTACTACCCTCTAAAAACAGTCCTCGAGAAACCCGCGTTGGCGTTGGGTACTTAGTATATTGAATAGATTGTGCTTGTTCCTAGTATTAGCACAATATATACATCACAATAGTTACAAATGATAACAATATTCTTTAAATCAGACATCATAAATCCATTGTGAATAAGACAATTTTTGTTTTTGTATAAGGTCAAAGTTAATATATTTATTTCTTTAAATTTTCTTTTAGACTCTCCTTCGGCCCTTTCTGCGAAACTAAACAAGAGATCGACAGGAAGTGACCGGATTGCGCTAGCACTTCATATTAGTTTGTGGACTGGATCATGAGCGTAAAAACGGCCACTCAGTCCATGATTTTTCAGTACCAGGACATAGAAATCAATTCCGTTCCGGACGCTAGTATTATATTATATCAGTCACAATTTGTACGACATGCTAATAACTAGGGCCGATGCAGATGCAAAGGTAAAACCTTTTGCTAGCATCATAAACGGAGCGAAGTAAAAGTCTAACGTCATAACTATCTTTATTTCAACAAAAGGGTGCGTTTGGCAGAAAAAAGCGCTAGCAAGCGCTTGTAAGCAAAATGGCGATCGTAAGCGGTAAGCGCTGTCAAATCGTAAGTAGCTATTTTCCTCCAGGACACGATGTTAGTTTTATCCGGGGGACCTAACCTAATTTAAATATATGTTTGTAAAGTATTCGTATTAAAAACTTGCCAATCATGAATTATTAATAACATGTATATGTTTATTCATGTCCTTATATTACTTAAAACTAATATTGCACAAAACAACTTATAAACTCTACTTCAAAACAAACAAATTAAATAAGCAAAATGGCGGATTGTGTCAGCGCTACCGAAGTAGCAATCGTGTCCTGGCCGAAAACTATTTCAGCGCTTATAAGCGCTTGCTAGCGCTTTTTTCTGCCAAACGCACCCAAAGATTCAATGAAATGTTGTGACACTGCGCAGATGTAAATTAGCGAATTGATTAGATAGTAAAATAAAAAAAATTAAAATTCAGATTTTTATTGTTTTCAAATCTTGTTTGCATTGAGCTACAAATATTGTCGAAAAAATTACGTAAAATGGCCTATGGGTTACGGAGGAGATAGATTTCAAAGAATCGTTTTCTTGCACCATGGGGGCTCCGCCCCAAAAAACTAAAATTACCAATTTACTATCAGTACATGTCGTCTACTAATGATGACCTTATATAATCGAAACATGGACGAATGACGAGCTGGTAGATTTTGAAAGTTATGTCGTTTAAAAAATAATACTCTTGAAATAATACTAGTTTTTACGGATTTTATCGCGTATATTTAACTTTTTAAATACCCGACGTTTCGAGAGCTGTACAGCACCCATGGTCACGGGGGACTGAGATGTTCAACGTCCAGATGAAGATAAAATCCGTAAAAACTGGTATTATTTCAATGTGTAGTGTTCGCGTAAATATAAGAAATCATTAAATAATACTCTGATGTGGAAATAGTGCGATTTTGTGATTTACACTTCTGCCCATGTGAAATATTAGTAAAAACGATGTAACAGGTTCCTTATTGGTGATATTTTTATTTTTATCTACTCAGGGACCATGATATAAAATCGTCATCAATGGTGTGCTAGCTCTTATCAAATAGCCATTTGGTTAGAAAATTTTTGCAATTATGATAGTTAACGTGATGAATTTTTATGTTTTTATTAATGGCGTTATATAGAGTCGCTGACTGTTTTACATAAGTATCTCCTCCTAGCTAAAATAGTTTTTACTTCGATAGCTGTAGCCACTACGTTTTTACGTTTATGCAGTCCTAGAACTGAATATAAGATGTACAGTTTCCTTACACTAAGTACATTATTTATGGCATAAAGATTTCTTCTTGAAAATATTTTAGAATTTCGACAAGTTTACAATTATGACTTCTTACGAGTATATTTACGAGACCACTATACATTAAATTACCCTAATTTTACGGATTTTATCGCGTTAAATTTTGACTTTTGATTCCCGACCTAAAAAGGTGCTTTACAGTACGAATTTTAATGTCGCACCTTTGACAAAATGTGGCACGTGCTGAGGCGGCGCAGCACAAAAACGACCATATCTAAGCGAACAGACTGTACACCAAGGAAAATTTAACTAAAAAACGCCTCGAAATAAAAAGCAATAGCATAAAAAGGTTTCAATGGCAGTAACGGTATTTAAAGAAAAAGGTGATAAGTTAGCAAGAAATACTATATACTATATATTCGCTGACAGATACATCTTTGACAAATAAAGAAAACAAAACAGGTACTAGAAAAGATAGGAACTGAAGAAAGTGAACTTTAAAAGAGACAATTACTTAAAAGTAGGTCTGAAAACTGCCCAGAACTAAATATTTCATAGAGTTAAGATGTTTCGCCCTAACATTTGATTATTAACGAAAATCCTACACCATTTTTGTATCATGTTTGCCTGCACCACGGATATTGACTAAATGGTACAGTATCATCAATAGCCGACTGGGGTTTACACAAGGAGCGCTGACAGTATTAAAATTAAGAGCGGAGAGTAACTCCGATAAAAAAATGTACCTTGGTCATGGATGAAATGAAAATTAAGCAGTTGATGAAATACCATGCTAGCAGCCAAAGGCAAAATGACTATGTCGGCTATGGGTTTGATATTACGTATATCCGATAATTTCGATGAAGCTACTGACGCATTAGTGTTTTACTGCTCGGTATAAACAAAACGTGGAAAGTACCCATAGCCAACTTTTTAATTAAATTTGAATTAAAATCCGAGTTTGATCAGTCTTTCAAAAACTGGCCATAATTATATTTACTAATAAAATTATAATTTTATATTACACTAAAAATCCCTTCACTGCTGGCCGTATGAGGAAGCTAAAGTCGGGGTTTTCTGGATGATAAAGATAGAAACAAGGATATTCACAGTAGAACCAGAGAGACCGTCATATCCCAACGGATTAGTAAGCTGTAATGGCAATGGGCCGGCCATATAGTTCGAAGATTCGACAACCGATGGGGGGAAAAAGGTTCTCGAGTGGAAGCCTCGTACTGTTGGGTGAAGTGCAGGGCAATCCCCCCAATAGATGGTGTGATGATCTGGTAAGACGTGCAGGAAGTCGATGGATGCAGGTGGATCAGAACCGTGCTTTGTGGCAACCCTTTGGGGAGGCCTATATTGAGCAGTGGACTTGAGAAAGGCTGTAGGTAATGAATGAAAAAAACACTAAAAATCACTTTTACCAATGCTGAACTTATGCGGATTATGATGATTTGTTTATCGATAAAAATATCGAATAGTCCTCGCTTTACGTTGGTTACGCACGTAGACAGAGAAACCTATAGACTAATGATTAGCGTGGCCTCGAGTGAGAAGGGAAGATAACGTAGTTTTAGGTTATACAATAATCTTTATGACTTTTAAACATATTCTTAGAATTTTTTTTTTAATTTTTCTAAGAACTGAACTGAACAAGGTTCACCAATCTTAAGCTCACAAAACACTCACTTAAACCAACTTATAAACTCCTTATATGGCTACGAACTGTTAAAGTTGTTTAGCAAAGTGTAGTTTGCTAAACAGAAAAACCGGCACGGAGATAGGGACAAACAATCACACCGGTCTGTCTCATTTATATGCAAGACGTATGCATAAATCTATCTTTTTCGTGTGCGAATGCGAAAGGCGTCAATTTGTCTATAGGTTTCATTGTCTACGGTTACGCATGTAGGCAGCGGCACCAGTGTATTGACACGTTACAATTTGATGGTATGCATAAATGCAATGAACACAAACACAAATGACATTTTGACAGACTTTTTGTTTAGAAATTAACGCGCATGGCTTCTCCAGTTAGTAGAATACTGAAAGATATGAATATATTAATCAAGTAATATTGTAATATTTAAACTTATATATGAATATTAATATCTTAATACGAAGGCTAAACGTATCATTATTCTATTCATGTACATAATAAGTTTATTTTACAAAGCAATCTTATTACTTTTTATAGGGATGTATGCTAGGTTTATATGCTTTGATAAATATTAATGTTATTATTAAATAAGTTATACTATAGTATATGAGTTTCATTGAAAGTGATTATTTAGAATATATTAGAATAAAGATAAATTCCACTGCACAAAACAAGAGCACTTGTTTTTTAAGTTTTCATTTTAAGAATGACTTACGATACCCAAATATATGTTAAATCATTTCAATAAATGTCGATATGGCCTTAACACGAATATTGAGGAAATACCATGCCAATAAAACTTATATATCCAGAATAATTTTATTAAAATAATTAAATGTAAATATAAACTTTTAAAACATCACTGGAGAGTCAAAAAAATGTAAGAGTTGTTGTATTCGTAATTTCCCGCTCGTCAACGTGATATAAAATATCCAATTGAAAATAATCCCTAAGTTTTGTACAATAGCGAACGAATACCCGCCAAACGCTCATATCGGTTGATTCATTCGGTCATTCGACTCGCTCGCTCGCACCGCCATACTTA